ATAATTAATATTATAATAATATAATAATATATTATAATATATTATAATAATATAATAATAACATAATATTAATATAATAATTAATATAAATATAATATGATAAAAATTAATTAGATTATTGTAAATCATATATATAAATTATTTCATTTTTATGCATTTTGTTCCATTAATTGCTACCGTTACTGTTAATTATATGTGATAGGAAATCGATATAGAATCTCGAATATAACGTTCTTTGGATAAAATTAATTGATGAAACAATGTTCTGAACAATGATCGTATCGCACTGCGCACAACGATGCTTTTGACGATCGTTTCGTTGAAAAGCGATCGTATCTTCGTCAATCGATTATTATCCGCAGACATCGATGAAACGGTCAATATATAGCACGAAACCACGCGGAACCGTAATATCGATGAAACATACACAGAACGGTTTCTTCAGTAACGTCTAATTACTTTAACAATTATAGAACATTGATCTAATTCATTGTGCGACCTCGAGATTATATCTCCTCTCGTACGAACAACACGAACGCTCAACGCGATTTCCTGATTTTATCGAGATATTCCAACTTCCATAAGCATTACTTCACATTCAATTTATTCCGCAGGGATTCTTTTTAACAAAAATGTTGAAACTCATTTAATTTTCAATCAACTTAAGAAAATGTTTCCCTCTTAAATTTAACTACAAAGCATTAAAAATTCTCAATTTCGAATACTTCAAAAATAGGTCATCCCTAAGAATATAAAAAACGCTATTCCAGCATATTCAATGGTTCAGCACCTTTACTGTCATCATTATCGACGTTCCTTATTATTAATTCTGGAAGCAAAAGCTTCGCTCGTTGATTTTTCTGCAAGGGTGCTTCTCCGCCAAGCACGCACTTGAAAAGTGAGAGCACTTCGTTGCGGTCACGTCCTAACTTTATTTTGTCACGAATAATCTTCATCTTTATTTTCTGATTATTCCGAAAATTCCCAAAAACATGACAAAGGTATATTGATTTTTCAAATGTCTTGTAAACAATTTGTAATAACTATGTTATATATTCATTATTATTTTAATTAATTTATTATTTTATTTTATTATTTATTTATTATTAATTATTAATTTTCCATAATTTTTACCTCACATAATGAGAATAAAAATAAAAAATTCATAACACCGCTTATTACCGGTGCACTTTCCTCCCGTCATTGGCTTATGTTGGCACGAGCATTAATGTGATTTTCCCGACCAGACAGTAGATCACTGTTGAATATTCAGCGGTTACATGTTACGCATTGGTGGCGATAAATTCGAGACAAGCTACATTACGACGCGCACGGCGCCGCCGTCATCGTTCAGCGACGCATCTCTCGTTTCGCCGCCGTTTATTTCATCCATGGAAGGAATTCTGGACGTAAAACGCGAAATTTATTATCGAAGGGTCGGATGACGTCGGCACGAGAACATCGGCCGCGAGAACGAGCTTCCGCCGTTTAACCTGCCGCTCCTCGATTATGCTGACTTTTGCGAAATTGCTCGTAATTCACATTGTCTCATTGTGGCATAACGGTGCGGGCAATCAACGTTCGCTTTACCGTAAAGGACCCGCGCGCTACGGGTCAACAAGAAGAAGGAACAAAGAGAACATGAAGAGTCGACGAAGTCGCAACGTCTTCCAACATTATCGCTTCCGTTGAACTTTTCCGGCGCCAACGAGTAAAAAGAGCACACAATGCTGTTTATCGAAAGATCAAAAGATCGCGTATTGTCGACGAAACTTTAACGCGATAAAAACACATGAATGACGTAAAGTATAACGCGACTAACCTGAAACAGATTGTAGCCCTTATCGTACATCCACATCTCATCGGCTGGATGTTCCTTTGGACTTTCCCGTTGACCGGCGTTTGCAATGTGAGGAGGTGATCCTCGAATCAGCTGAATCGCCAGGGACCTCTGCAGAAGCAAGAGGCATCGGGAGGGCCCGGGGCCTCCAGGACCCGTTCCATCTCCCAAGATCGAGGCCATTGCGAGGGCCCACGCTAATGATATCGATAATAGGCCGGTGACATCACGAAATCTATAACAAGAGAAAAATATATATTCAGCAATTTGACCTAGAATAAACTGTATAGATTAATCAATACGTTAAATCATCAAAAGTGATCAGTGTAAATAAGAAATATTTTAATAAACAATTTCTAATTAATTCTGTCTCAAAATAGAATTGATCAATAATCTTTTTATTAAACAAATATAATAAAAAATTGAAGAAAGTAAGAAATTAACCTTTAGATTAAATAAAAAAATTAAATGAGAGATGTCAGTACGATTTGTTCTATAAAGTTACATAAAAAGACGCCTTGACGATTTTGTACAAAGTTACGTAACCGAAAACTGTAGACACGCTTGATAGCGGAGGACTGCGAATGACCTGCAATTTTACGCAACGAAGACCTCCGTCTCTCATCTGCCGTGCTGTCTTACGTCCAATTATTCTTATCGTCGTACCATGGAGAGAGATAAAGTGGCGGCGAGTTCATCGCACTATGTATTATACAAGTTCACGAAAGTTACAGACTACAAGAGACTGCGCGAAATCTCTACACGCGCTTGTTCGTGACACATACAGCTGCTTTATTGAACGTGCTTTGCAGGATTAACTTCGCTCCCAGGATATACATAAAGAATCTTGGATCAGTGGTTCTCAATTTATGCAGATTTACGTTCAGTCCGAATAAACCAAACGCGAATTACGTGTCTTATCAAAAGTTCACTAATATCGGTTCTATTCAATGTAAAAAAATTATTTTAAATTACATTTTATATCATCAATATATTACATTATATATATATTGTATTTATTTTGATTTCTATTTTATTTTAAATAATAAAATACAAGCTAGATTTATTAACTAGATTCTAAAAAAATTATAATTCGTATTAGACCAACGGAAATAAATTAATTAAGAGAAACAATCCTATTTTCAAAGCGGATCTTAGTGCTTAAGTATTTCAGGTAGGTACGTTGTATACAAATTCACACGTTGAAATACTTAAGTACTAAGATCCGCTTTGACTGAAAATAAGAAAAATTATTTCTCTTAATTGATTTTTTAAACTCGCATTTGACGATGTGCAAAGATAGTTGAGAGATTCTGCGTCGTTGTTCTTTATCTTCTAAAGGCCAGAAAGCAACGTCACGTATTCCTGTATTATATCAACATTTCCCACCTCGGACGCCTAATTGATTTAGCCTAGCCGCCCATAGCTAGACCCAAGGGTGAAACCCTTACTCACGAAAATCCACTCATGGTACCAGAGAGATGGAATGTCGGGTAATAAGAAAAAGGGATGGTCGTCATCGCCCTGCTCATTGTCGCAGCTCTTTCTCTGGAATCGAGCCAGAGGCGCAAAATAGCTTCATCGATGGTCCGTAAATTCGATCTAACCTTAATTACCAACTGACCCCGAGCGACCAAATGTATCGCAATACATGCAATACATTTCCGAATAAGAAAGAGATGTGGCAGATGAGCTTTGACTTACGAGTTAAATTATTTGTTTGTTTAAAACAAAACGTAAATATATTTTTAAAATCAGTATATAATCTGATCTTATTTCAAGACTTAAATAGTATCTTAAGATGCTAATGTGGCTCTGCGATTGGCTCATAACATTTTAAGATCATATTTAAGAGTCTTAAATATAAGAACTAGCTATGAAAATCGTAAGACTATATGATCTCTTAACCTATTTTTAAAGGAAAGTAATAAAAATGTGTATAAAATCAAAGATTAGATAAATTAGATTTAATTATTTAATCAGGTACAAAAATATGTAAAATATTAAACATATTGAGATTTAGTTAGTAGGCTGATACTGTCTTATGTCCCATTTACCTGTTTTCCGATAGCGATGAACATTGAATCGATTTATTGGAAAGTCCCGCATGCTTAATAGTAGCTAAAGTTCACTTCCTGACATCGATAGATGTTTGATAACACAGATAAGATACTATGTGATGCGTGACGGGACACACCGGTGTACCGCAACTATCACATTATTTATTAATCAGAACATAATTGGATAGTTAATGGTACACGATCTTTTGTATCAGGTAATAAACGACATTGAATAATTTCTTGCGAAATAGCGACTTTTTAGCTCTCACGCGATCACGACGCGCTGATGATATTCTGTAGGAATATATATCAAGAAAATAAAAAATACACGTAGATAGGGAGGAGAATAAAATTTAATAGCGCAAATTTCTCGCGTTGTTCGTTCGCGTTGTTCATTCGTTCGTGCCATCCGCTCTTCGAACGCGCGGTTGTTTGACGCACTTTTATCCACTATATCTCGGCGTACTTCATTCTCACCGACACAATGGAGCAATTTTCGCAATGTACTTGGCAAATAGTTTGTCCTATCTACTTATCTAAAGAAGGTCGACGATTGATCTCGATGCAAAAGAAATTGTTCCAAAATGAAACGTAATTCAAGAATGAGGGAGAAGAAAGAAAGGATTTTCCTTTGCGCGAATGTGTTTCGCGAATCGTTAAGCGTGATTTACATGGGACTTTTATTCGACTTTAGAAGTCGCGTCTAATGATTAATTCATATAATCATTAATTCGTGAATTCTCTCGATTCTGCTGCTATTCGCTTGAAGTAAGCTTCTTAATTCGTCTGCGAAATTCGCCGATGAAAGCTTCTTGTATACGTTTGGTTTTTATTCTCTAGCGAAATCAAAAATTTTGAAATCACAGTGTTAAGTGGTCGCTAGTGATCAAGCGAATAGTTGGTCACAACAGCGACTTGAAGTATGTCTTTCGATGACATGATTATTCTCTGATGCTTATGGTCTGAGTGGCCGAGGCGTTTCGGAAAAATTCGTCTTCTCACGCTGACGACTTAAAAATCTTTTCTGGAGGAGCAGCAAGAAACTAGCGACAAACCAACGACAAGCTAGCGATAAACGTTGAAAGCGGTATTCGCCGCGACTATACGCTATAAGAACAAACCCATGTCTAGAAGAAGTTTTAGTAGCGAATTCGCTATGACATTACTAGATGCGGCTTCTAGCGAATAAAAATCGGCCCGTGTAAATCACGCTTAGACCTCCTTCGTGCCGCGAATCGAAGCTCGATTTCACCTTGTACCAGTTCGTCGGGCGGAAGGTGTTCGACCGTGCCGCATCGCGGAAAAAGGACTTCCTGCCGCATGACTCACTCACCGTGCGCGTCGTCGATCGCGACGGACTCTCATTAATGTCTCGCCAATTGTGGCTGCACCGCGACGCAGCCGCACCGCGCCGATGCACGCCGTTGCATCCCTGAATCCCGATTAGTGGGATCTGACGACAAGGCACTGACAACATTAATTAGCGTTCGCTTGTTTAATTTTCCTGTCCGCTCTTTTCCCAAAGTTTCTTACCGCTGGAAAGCGGAATGTCTCTCTTTGATTCCTCATAGCGCGCGAGTCACGAGCGACCTGGATTCCCCGATCTCGTCTATTATAATCGTAATTATAGTAATCATGGCCGTCGATCGATTCACCAACCGGCAAGGCGGCAACGTCTCGTCGGAAATAGGAAGAATGCTATCTGCGTTAACGGCTATTCTCCTTGCGGTCAATCCACGGCTCGATCCCCCAACTGATCGCTCGTAGAGACAAGGTAATTTCCTGCAAGATTAACACGTTTACAGAAACATACAAATCGCCACGCGGTGAAACGACGGATACCGTAACTTAATTACGCGCCGCCCCGTAACTCTATAAGTTACAAGTAGGATTTACATTACACGTCCAGTTAAATAAAACGATAACTACGCAGATACATTGAAATGTTGAAGATACGATGTAATACATTCCGATCTCGTCCCATTTAATCAACATCTTTTCTAACATCTTTTCATCTTAGAATGCTACGTTTATAGCCTTCTCCAAATAAATATCGTTTTATATTTTTTATACATATACTCGAATCGAGTTCCGAATCGCTTTTATTATCTTGCTTCTGCTGAAATAGACGCGTCACTAATTTTCTGCTAGATGACTTGTCTGACAATTTGTTGAATCGCAAAATCTCAATAAATTCTCAATAAACTCTCGATAAATTCTTCCGCTGTCTTTCTCCGAAATTCTTTCACCTCCTTTTTTTGATTCGTTATACATATGGTACCTGTCGATCGAAGAATATAGCTAAGCCGTAGGGGATTGTTAAGAAAACAAACTTTCATATCCAATGAGCAAATTCATTCTTTGCGTGACATCGTACGCGGGCTCGTTCTGCGATCTTTTGATGTATCATCTACCTTCTCGATGGCGAAGACCAACCGCCGGACCTCAGAGTTCGAGTGTCTAGAAAGTACTTCTCGCGCGGACCATTCTCGTAAAACGTGTAACGGGAACGATCAAACAACGTCTCAGCCTAATGGAAGTCCAAATAAAGACAAATCTACGTCCGCGTCGCTGTAATATGATCCCGCTGAAGATGGCCATTGAGAGTTTAAACGAGAAACAAGCGGGTTATCAATGACTACATCGACTCACCTTCAAGTCCCAAAGTATGATGAATTCTTCATATCAGTCTGTCGATGAGAACATAAATAGAAAGTTCCGAACGGCTGTCATTTTTGTTTGACATTGAAAATCACGTGTAGATATATGTTAATGTACGAAATCTACGAATTTCTTTTTAATTATGATAACTGACAGTGTTATCAATATTTCCAAGAACAGGAGCAATTATTGTGAGAGAAAACGGGAGTGAATTATCTTGAATACGAGAGAATTATCTAGCGAAAAAGCGGAGATTCATCGAGCTATATACCGACGCGCCTTTCGGTAATTCGGGGAAAAAAAAGTTGCGTGACTCTCGCTTGATACGACCGACATAGCTCGACGTAATAGGATATATCAAGAAACTTAAGACGCGAAATTACCACACATGCCAAGTTTCCATTTAAGAATCACATAATTGTATCCTCCGGACTCTGGGCTTAATTAGCGTTACGCAGAGAGTTCTATCGGCTATATTTCTA